AACCACCCCGAGTTTGAGGAATCCAAAGTGCTAAAAACCCTAGAAAGGAGATAAGAAAAGAAACAAGGAAGAAAACATACCTAATCAAAGATGATCAACAATTGAAGACCCGAGGTGGATTCAAGGAACGAATTGAGCTAGCTTCATAATGACTTTAGAGCAAATTTGGGCATTTACAAGTAACACCCTAGATCACCAGGAGATTGGAGAAGAAAAAATCACAAAGAAGAAGAAAAGAGGGCAATCTTAAAGAGGAATACAAAGGGCATTAGAAATGATTGAAAGAGGCAGTTCAGCTTGTAGACACATTTGAGGAAAAGTGTACGGGCAGACACGTGGACTAGGAATGATGAACATGGGCGATAAACGAGGAGGAAGTAACTCCACACATGCTTGCAATGCCATAAAAATTGAGAAACATCCCATCATGTGAATCCCGAGGCCAAACCAAGCTAACCTTGCTCACCAAAGTCAGAGGTAAGCCCCAGCTCATGTAACCTACCAGTTGGGGACTAGGGGGTAACTGATGATACGCAAAATATGCTTAAGGTTAAGCTCGATCAATTAACTCGGACCTTCCAAGCTCGGATCACTCAGCTTTTCGTGAATATCCAAAGGAGTTCGGTTCAGCACCTCTTCCTTAGAAACTACACCCCTACAGGAATAGCAAGGATGACAGTTGACTTCCACCTAAGCACCGCACATAAATCATAACGGTCTTATATTTGGATAAGGAAGTCATAACTGCCTCAATGATGTCCATGGCAATCCCATGAAAGGCGCAACCATTACAAGAAGAAGGCAAGGATCACTCCAAGGATCAAACAAGGCCTTAGAAGACTATAAATAAGAGGCATGTTCCTTACAAAGAGAGATGGATAATTAGCATAATCATTATTCTGTGTAAATCCCCTTTTTATCAATAATATCACCTTCTTGAGAATGGATTAACTGAGCTCCTGAACTGGTGAAGCACTATAAATTCTTTATATGCAATTCCCTATTTTCCTTATTTCATTCTTAAGAGCCTAGAAGCTCCGACTGAGCCATTTAGTGACCCATTAGTCCTTAAAGATCATAAGCTCTGTTCAACTATGTGACATACACCATCAATTTCCTTTCTCTACACAGAATACAAACCTCCTCTAATACTCCCCCTAACACACATACACACACACACGCGCATAAGCGCACACACACCAGATCTTTCTTCTCTCTAGAGAAACATGCTCTCTCTCACACACACACATTCTCTCCCTTTGTGTCTCTCTCTCTTCCCTTTAACTTTTTAGTTCTCTACACAAAAAACACTCCATTGTTCCTCTATGCCCCTTAAATTTTTCTTTTTTTGCCCTATCCCTAATCCCAACATTAATCAACATACAACTCCACTTCCCAATCCAACCTCGATCACAACCTGCACTCTAACTAGTACCCAGGGATGGCAATGGACCAGAGAAAAATGGGTATTCATCCAAATCCGTCTCGTTTGGACCAGGGATGGACTATACGTATTGGATGGTGGACATATACAGGAATACCCGTATAAACCCGTGTGGGGATGAAGGCGGGGATAGACTTACCCTTACTGCCGCCCCGCCCCACCCCCACTCTCGCCCCGTCCCCCTCCCCGCTATAGTATACCCGTTTTATATATATATAAATAAAAATACTCCTATAGGCTAATACATTCACTGGAAATTTTTAAATAAACTTCTAGAAAACACGAGACTATATATATTCTAGAGACAGATGGGTACACACTGATTTTGGGCTAGATAAGAATCTTCTCATATTTGGTTAAATTAGTGTCCAATTTCGTAAAAAAAAAATTAAAAAATCTACTCAACACCACCAAAAAAAAAAAAAAATCTAAGTCCCAAACTTTCATTGTAATCATGTTAAATTAAAAAAGCAAACCACCACTTAGTGTACGAGATTTGTCCATATTATGTGATAATAAATTAAATTGATTTAAATTTGTATAGTAAGCTCAAGAAAATAGTTTTGCAACTAAATTATGATTTTTCTTTGGCGACATCTCTTATTGACATGCTACATATTGTACCACAAAAAAATGTATCTGGGAGAATTGGACAGGTAATCTAAGATGTTTGGATACTAGATACTAAAATTAAATATTACCATGTTTGTTCCTAGGCAAGCAAATTTCCATTTTTGTCTACAAAAAATTATCTAAATTTCGGTTGCTTGAAGAAGCCAGTAGTATGGGGGTAGGCTTGGGTTTGGGATTGGACTTGGGCGTGTACGGGAGAAGCGGGTACAAGGACGGGGATTAGAAATTTACCTGCGAACGGGGATGAGGATGATAACTATAACCGTTAATGGGGGTGGACCGGGGATGGACGAAATTTTTTTAAGCAGGTACGGGGATGAAAACTGCACCCCCCGTTTCGGTCTACTGACATCCCTACCAGTACCCCAGCCTAATCAAACTAGTACCACCATCATCGCAACACCGAACAACATAATCAAAATATGAATCAACAATCAAAATTGTGATTGAAATCAAAATCAAGCAAATCATGATTGAACACACCCAATTGAAATTAGAATTTGGTGGGTTATGCTGCTGGTCAGAGGCATGGACAACAATAGAAAAAAAACAGAATCGTGAAGAATGGAAGTGACGTGGTGGTGGTTGTAGCGGGTGGATGTTGTAGGGTGGTTGTAGCGGGTGGATGTTGTAGGGTGGTTGATGATGGAGTTTGCGTAGAAAGAGAGAATAGATTGGGGGTGGAGATGGTGTTTAAGGGGTGGTGTAGGATCTTAAATAAAATAATCAAGAACTCAAATAATCACACACACAAAATTAAAGAACCAAGAAATAATGAACAAATGAAAAAGAACCAAGCAAAACAACAAAGAACCAAGCAATGAAGGCGACCGAAAAAAACGAAAGCCGCAAGGTCATTATTATTGAATAGGGAGAATTACAACTAGACTACCTGAAATTTATTATTTAATCACTTAAATTTCTTAACATTTGAAATATTATATATAGACATTCTGAGGTTTGTACACGTGTAACACTTACACCCCCTGTCATCAATGTACACCAGTTAGTAAATTACACTCAGAACTCTTGAAGTTTATAAGCTTATAATACTTGGACCCCTTAAGCTTAAATGTTATACTTAGATAAAAAAAAATATTCCAATCAGAGATAGAATAACAAATATTTTAAATTTTACAACTAAAATTAATGTTCTATTGTATCATTTATTGAAAGAAAATTTAAAATAAAAATTCAATTTTTTCTTAAAAAATCGTAACTAATTTACAATTATATTATCTGCTGAAATAAAACTAAAAAATTAAACAAGGGGTCTAAATCATTCATAGTAGAACATGCATTTTACAACAAAAATTCATGTTCTATTATGCATTTATTGAAATCAAAATATATTATTTTCTTAAAAAATTATAATTAGTATACAATTATATTATATATTGGAATAAGACTAAAAAATTAAAGAAGTGGTCAAACTGTAATAGACATAATATCTTCTAACTTTAAATGGGGGTAAATTGGTAGTTTAATTTGATCAATTAAATGGCCAAATTAAATTCTAATAGATAGTATAATTATTTAATTTTTATTTTTAGATTTAAAAAAAAATAGATTTTTATTTTTGATTTTATTTCAATAAATGTCATAATAGAACATGAATTTTAATCATAAATTTAAAATATATGATATTCTATGTTTGATTATAGTATTTTCGATTTAAGTATAATATTTTAAACTTGAAGAGTCTAAATATTATACAACTATAACCTTTAAGGGGTCTAAGTATAATTTACTATTGGGGGGTTTGTGTATAATATTTTAATTATTAGGGAATCTAAATGATTAAATGATAAATTTCAAGGGGTCTAAATATAAATTTACCTATTGAATACCACAATATTTTCCCAGTGGTTACAAGTGAAGAAAAACTTTCAACAAGTCTTTTAAAAAACAAAAAAAAAGATACACTCCTAATTTAACTAATAAAATTGCTTTTTGTACGTAATTTAGTGACTTTATCTAGTGACATGATAGATTATAACAATTGAATTGATAGTGGGTCTTAACTAATAATAAGATTTACTATTAATTTAATAGCAGAGAATGATAAGGTTACTGAATAAAGTCACTAAACAAGGTGTATGTAGAATTGCCCATAAAATAATAATGCTTCTGGTTCTAATAAACTACTGCATGGTAATCCTATATGAATAACACTATGTTTGTTTGGCTGAAAATAAGAAGGAAAATGGTGAGAGAAAAATGGGATGGAAAGAAAAAGTTTTCATCTTTTGGTTTGGAGGGAAAATAGGTAGGAAAGAAAATTTGAGAGGATTCTTTTTCCTCTCAGCCCACCAAAATTTTTTAAAAGGAAAATTTGGAGGCCGATCCCCTTTTGTGAACTTATTTGGTGATAAATTCATCAAGGAAACTTATTTACTATTAAGTCAATTTTAATCTTCATTGTCCAACATACCCTCATAATTATATTTAATTAACAAAAAATTGAAAATTAACAACTCCTAAATTTTAAGAGTTTGACTAACATTAAAATCCTCTCTCTCATACCTATGTATATCTATATATAGAATATGACTATTTATTTCTCTCTCTAATATATATATATATATATATATATATACACACACACACACACACTACTAATTATTTGTGCCTGAAGACATAATCTAATAAAAAATTCCTATGACACTTCTCAAAAGAACACTTTCAATTTTTCAATACTTTTATCTATATGTATTGTTGGTAAATAGAGGTCTATTGCATAATCAATCTCAACAATGAATTATTTTTCAATACTTTTAGCAATAGACCCATGCCTACCGGCACTGTGTAATAAAAAATAACCAATTAAAAAAATGAGAATCCATAGGAACGAATACATGAAAGCAACATCAACATGGAAGCAAAGATATTCAAGAGCAAAAGGGGAATACACTATGAGATACTATGAGAATAGCAAGCAATTGAATTTCTTCAAACTGCATAGCTTGTAAAACAAATCTACCCTATGCTCCATCTTTTTCTCTGCCAACCCAAGAACCTGCTCAAAAGAAAAGAATTCAACACATAACATATTTCCTAAATACAGTTTAATATGATACACTTTCATAAATGCTACTTTCCTAACTACTCTTCTCTAATTTAAAGGTAAGTGAAATATATGTACACAACTTTAACAGTAAAAGAAAAAAAAAAGCTGCTTATATATGCACACTGTATCTACATAGGTTAGAAAGAAAGCTGCTTACACATTTTTGGGAGCTTTTCTGTGGTCACATGTCTGCTTGTAGAATTCTTTTGGCTGTGTAAATCAACCATGAAACCACTGTTCAAACACCTAGTTACAATAAACAAAAGAAAGCAGACAACAAAACCAACCAAGAATTAAAAAAAAAAAAAATTAAGCAAAACTGCAAACTTGACCGAAATTGTTGATTACGAATTAGTTGAATATTCCCCACAGGCAAGTAGCGAGAAAGCTTATGAAGAGATTATCAACTAACAATGTATAAGATTTTGATGGGACATTTTTTTGTGATCAAGGGGGACGAGGCACGTGTCCTCAGCACCTCAAAGCCCTCCACTAACAGTACCTCGGAGTCCACTAAGGGTACCTTGGAGCCCTCCACTAAAGGTACCTCAGAGCCCTCCACTAAGGGTACCTCAAAGTCCACTAAAGGCACCTTGGAGCCCTCCACTAAGGGTACCTCGGAGCTCTCCACTAAGGGTACCTCAAAGCCCTCCACTAAGGGAACCTCAAAGTCCACTAAGGGTACCTCAAAGCCCTCCACTAAACGTACCTCGGAGCCCTCCACTAAAGCTACCTCGGAGGCCTCCACTAAGAGTACCTCAGAGTCCACTAAAGGCACCTCGAAGCCCTCCACTAAAAGTACCTCGGAGTCCAAGACATGCTGTCCGCAGAGTCCTCGACATCTTGTCTGCAGAGCACTCTCCACCTGACACGTCATCTCGACGCTAAGGCAGCTTGGAGTCTTCATCACGTACCACGTATCCTCGGCTTCAAAGGCTACTGATTAACAGTTGGTCACTTTCAGAACTAGACTAGGGATCATGAGGGTACTCTTCCTAACAAGGTCAGAATGACAGAATGAACAAGACACTCCACCAAGAGGAGTCAGACACGTGGCATGAAGTACAGGTTGAGGACTTAATGGACAAAAATGTCCTTGCTGACATGCAACTATCTCAGGCAAGCATTGTGATGCCCCTAAAATAGGGGGTCCCGTTGACGACCCGTCAACCCGCGGAAATGCCCGTGAGTGCCGCTTAATCGGACATCACGCTAGTAGTATCCTTTTAATCGGAATTTTAACCCACACGTGTAACCTGTGTATGTTTTGTCATTTAATACAACCGTGGCTCAAAATAGCACAATTCATGGCTCTTTGTTGTCCAATTACATATTTAGAACCAAAGGAATCAGAGACCGAGAGCACAACACTTTAGTTTTAAAATTTCAAATTTTAGGAAACAGTATCGGTACTGTGTACTGGTACGATTTGCCTTCTGAACAAATAGTACCGATACGCAGTACCGGTACTCTTGGTCTTCTGAACAGAAAATACCGGTATTTTCTGCCCTCTGGACCCAACAGTACCGGTACACAGTACCGGTACTGTATGCCCAGTTTTGCCTGTTTCGCCCAGTTTTCATTTCAAAACTATTTCAATTCATCCCAACACCATCTAAAACATGTCTAATGATGTTTATCACATAAAACTTGTTATCTATAAGTTATATTACAATTCATTCACACAATTTCATACTCAACACCGTAATTTTACAAAGTTTTTACAAAATGTATTACAAAAGCCACAAGTCTATTTTTCTTCATCTTTGAGGCCCTGAATGCGAGTCCTCCGATGGCACGAACCCCACACCTGAAATGTGTTCCCGTATAGGGTGAGCTACACCCAGTAGAGTATTTCCTATAGAGGCTACTCCCCACCTAAATGCATATGCAATATTTACATTCAATAACCGCAATCATAAATCCATTTCATACAAGAACATGCTATTCAAGATGAAATTTCTACCATGCCATGACATGATATGAGATGAGACTCACTCATACATTTTCACCCAAGCCTACTCCGGCTCCCACAACACAGTGCAATGCATATGTGTCAAACATTTGTCCTTGATGAAATACATCCAAAGACCATTTTGAAATAAAATCATATGCTCATAAAATCAATTCATTTCTAGATGTTTTCCATCAAATGAATCATTTATATAACAAAATCATGTGTCTTTGTTGAGTATCGGATTTTGGAATCACACCGCTAGCTCCGTACGCCATTACACTTTTCCAGAATTTCACCTCAGAGGAGTGTATGAACCAAGTAGCTGGGTCTTTCACCCTGAGGGAGTGTCTAGCCCTTTTTGCTATACCCGACACAAGTTTTTCTTTCATGCAACCATGCGACTCAATCAGATTTTTAATCCAACTTTTCCCGAGCCCATCACCAATCACCAAATATGATGATTAATCCAACCATGCACACAAACACACACACCCATACTCATGGCCATAGATGTATTTCTCCCATACAATATGCAATGTAATGCACCATTACAATGTCGATTTCATGCCCAATACGCAAAAAATGCTAATGACCAAATTAACCACATGTTCCATGGCAATTTATATCACATGCATATAATCACTAAAATTCATTATCATGTCACTACATCAACTAGCATATATCAACATTTATATCCAACACAAATCTCAAGTATTGCGTTACACAATCTCATGCCAATCACACTTAATCACAAGGCATAATATAAACATATAACATGCCCACATAAACCAACTTCAAGGGATTACACAAGTGACTCCCACATATTAAATTCAAGCTAGAAGTTGGCCTAAGCCATTTTTACACCCTTTCCCTCATTTTCATAATAATAAACAAGTGGTATACATATTCTACATACCCACCCCCTTCCATATGAACATCATAGGATAGAAATAGTCTAAAGTAGGAGGAAACCCTACCTCTTGGAGTGTGAATAGAAGGTAGAAACTTCAAGAACTCCAATACCACCCAAAAAACTTATTTTTCCCAAAATTTATTCTTTGGATCTTCGGTGAAATCCCTTGTTCTTGGGACGTACGCGTAGCCCTCGTCACGTAGACCAACTTTAATTCTTGGTTCGATGAATTCTGACTGATAGAACTCCTTGGATCGTAAGAAGAAAGGTTAAATTTTAGGCTTTCTCTCCCTCTTCTCTCTTCAACGTCTGATTCAGCCGGCCAAATGGGGTGAGAATATCTAATTTTTCAGATAATTAGTCCCTATTTATACTTTTTATTTGCGCGGTCCATATTGTCTCACACGTTTATTACTTTCGGGTCCGTTTTTAACCCAAAACGACTTAATTAATTCTCGATTTCAGGTCACATTAATTTTACTTGAACTTTTATCTAATTTTAAGGAAATTTTATAAATTTTATTTTTGGGGACCTTTGTAAGGTCATTCGTAACCCACTTGTCTTGTAAAATGTGTCAAAATTCGCTTATCTCAAAATTCGATGAAAATTGGCATGGTAGCTCGATTTCGCTATATGATTCCAAATTTGAGGTCCGTTGCATCATCCAAGCTTTACAAAAATACTAATTTTAAACCCGCATTATAGTAAAAAATTATCATTTTGCCCTTTTTCTGAAAAAGTTCAAATTTACCCGGGTTTTACATTCTTCTCTCTTAAAAGAATTTTGTCCCTGAAATTCACACACACATATACATTCAAGCACATGCATATGCAACAGTCATATAACACGGAATGACTATAAAAATGTACCTCCATCCTTAAATAAGAAAGGATAATTGGTACAAATAGTGTCCTTGCGCTCCCATGTCACCTCCTCCATTCCTCGGTGCTGCCAAAGCACCTTCACTAGCCTTAAGGTCTTGTCTCGCAAAAATTGATCCCGGCTATCCATTATGCACACCGGCCACTCCTCGAATGTCCCATCAACATCAACAACAAGCTTGCCCCAATCCACCACATGAGTCGGATCCGAGGTGTATTTTTGAAGTATGGAGACATGAAATACCGCATGAACACCTGATAGATTTGGTGATAACTCCAATCGATAAGCCACTGTACCAACCTTCTCGAGTACCTCGAAGGGCCCGATATACCTCACCGATAGCTTTTCTCGCTTACCAAACCTGACCACTCCTCTTTTAGGCATCACCTTCAAGAAGACATGATCTCCCACCTCAAACTCTAGAGGTCGTCGCTGTCTGCCGGCGTAGCTCTTCTGTCGGCTTTGAGCCATGAGAAGATGCTTCCGAATCAAGTCCACTTTCTCTGAGGTGTCTCTTATCAACTCCGGACCCGTAGAAGATCTCTTTCCTACTTCCGTCCAACAAACCAGAGAACGGCATAACCTCCCATATAATGCCTCATAGGGTGTCATTTGAATACTCGTCTGATAACTATTGTTGTAGGTGAACTCCACTAAAGATAGATGATCTTTCCAACTACCCTTGAGATCTAGGACGCATGCCCATAGCATGTCCTCTAACGTTTGGATGGTCTTCTCAGATTAACTGTCCGTCTGGGGATAAAAAGTAATGCTCATCATCAACTGTGTTCCCATAGCTCATTGGAAAATCTCCCAAAAATGAGCCGTAAACTTGAGATCCCGATCTGGTACTATAGATATGGGCATCCCTGCAACCAGACAATCTCCTGTATATACTACCTGTAGAATTCCTCCAATGTGAAGGTCATCCGTACAGCCAAGAAATGTGCCGACTTAGTAAGTCGGTCCACTATCACTCACACCACGTCTTGTCCCCGCGATGTCCGTGGCAAGTGAGTCACAAAATTCATTGTGATATACTCCCACTTCCACTCAGCTACCTCCAAAAGCTGGAGTAATCCCGTGGTCTCTGGTGCTCAACCTTAACCTACTAACAAGTGAGACATCATCTGACAAAGTCTCTAACGTCTTTCTTCATCCGCTTCAATAATATTGGCGACAAAGATCATGATACATCTTCGTGCCACCTGGATGTACAACAAAACGGGAGCAGTGAAACTCTCTGAGAATCTCCTCCCTTAGGTTTGTAGACTGGGGAACCACAATCTTTCCCCTAAACCGAAGACTACCATCCGAGTGAATGGTCTAGCCCTTATCACTTGTACCTACTCGTACTCGGTCCTTAATGGACAATATCTTCGTGTCCTACCTCTAGGATTCGATTACTCTGCTCAGTAGGGGAAGGTGTAACCACTAGACTCCCTAAAATACCCTGAGTTTGCCCTATGTAACGTAGCCCAAACTGTCCTACAATCTCGAGCATCTACCACTCTCGGGAAGCTGCACTAGCCAAGACTCTCCGTGACTTCCGACTGAGTGCATCAGTCACCATGTTTGCTTTACTAGGATGGTAATACAAAATGAAGTCATAGTCCTCTAAATATTTCATCCGCCTACGTTGCCTCATGTTGAGGTCCTACTGTGTAAATATATACTTCAGACTCTTATGGTCCGAAAACACTTTGAACTGCTCACCATATAGATAGTGGCATCAAGCTTTCAAAGCAAAAAAATGACCGCCAACTCCATGTCATGTGTGGGATAATTCTGCTCGTGGTTCTTTAACTGCCAAGAACCATAAGTCACTACCCTCCCGAACTGCATCTAAACGCACACAAGTTCGTCTTTCGAGGCATCACAATACACCGTGTACCTCTGTCCCCTTTTCGGAACTATTAGAATAGAGATGAAGTAAGCCTCCTTTTTAATTCCTAGAATGCCTTCTCACAATAATCATTTCACTCAAATTTGACCTCTTTCTGGGTCAATCTCGTCATAGGAGCAGCTAATCGGAAGAAGTCCTTGATGAACCTTCTGTAATACCATGTCAATCCCAAGAAACTGCGTATCTCGAAGACTGACTTCAGCCTCTCCCAACTCAT